ATAATAAAAATATTTTTAAGCTCAAAAAACCCAAGGAAAGAAAATTTCGTGGGTATGACATTAAAAAGTTTTTTGACCAAGAAAAAATGGAAATGGCCAAAAGGTAGGAGATTGCATTATCTTCTCTTCAATCCCCGGATCAATAATGGCAGGCAGTGGGGTCTTTCCTTTCCTTTCAGATGGGACCTCCAATTCCAAATAAAAGGACGAGAGTTATATTCCACGTTCTAAGTGGGAATCCAAGAAAGTGTTAAATGAAGTAACAAAAATGATATTTACCCAATAAAAAAAAGGATGAAAAATAAGAATTAAAAAAAACGTGGGGAAAGATGCTAGCATCTTCTTCGCTTTTCTTTCTGGGGTAAAATATTAGAGCTAAAATACGAAAATAGGGATGCCCAGTATACCTGTGTAGTCTTTTTTTATTTTTTTTGGTGTAAATAGGAATATTATGAACTACATTAACGCATCATCGTCCGAAACAATACGGTTGCAGCCCTGCCAAGAGTGAACTTAGACTTGCAAGTATTAGGAACAATGTCAAACAAAACAAAAGGTTTCTTCGTTGGCCTACCTGTATGCACCCTTTATTGGAGGAGTTTTAAGCTAACAACTTGAAACCAATGACAAAACTTGAGGAAAATGTCAGGGGTTAATTAATTAAAATTTTTTGAAGAGACTAAATGAATAAATTACTTTTTATCATCATTTAATAGTTTTGAAAATTTTTTAAAATTCTGCGAGTAAATATTTATTTATATATATATAAATTTTACATATTATATTAATATAAAATTTTAATTTTTAATTTTTAATTTTTAATAATTAAGATTTATTATAATTTTTTAAATAAAAAATAAATTTATTTAATAAATATAATAAAAAATAAAATATTTATCTTTAATAAAGCAAATTATTCCATCCCCAAGTTTTTTTGCACTTCATTCTTTAACTTTCAACAATATATGATTTTTGTTTTATTGTCTGTTGTTTGATAAGTCTGTCAAAATATAAATATTTTTAGTCCCTAAATTTATAATTATGTAACTTTTTGTCAATAGTTCATATGAAAAAATATGAAAATACTTTTTTTATTCTAAAATAATTTTTACTTTTTTATTTTAAATTTGTCTCCAATTAATTATTATTTGTTCATTTTTTAAGGTAAACAATTTTTTTTAGTTTAATCTTATAATTATCTATTCACTTTCGTTAATTATTCAATCATAAAATGTATCTTTTGCATCTTTTAGACTATCACAAATTTCATGTAAATAAGACACAAACAAACGTTCAGTTTGTTGTAAGAAAAAGGATTAAATTATCTAATTTAACAAATTTATAAGTTTATTTGTTTAAATAAAAAATTAAAAAATTAATCAAGAATCTTTAAAAAAAAAATTCAAAAGTTAGGGTTTGCCCTTTAAAAAACTACATTTATTAGTATAATTTCAGTTTTTGCAAAACTTTTTTTTTTCCAAAAACTGGAACCAGTAAACATGCAATCAAATTTCTAACTTGTATTTTTTGAAAATGTGTTTCTGTTGTTCACAACTTTTCGAATCCTTGTTGAAACATTTTCTAATTTTTTCCTAAGTAACTTCACTAGGGGAGCTCTTTCCTTCTAGATCATCAGGGCTCTCATGCATATAATAAATGAAAAAATGAGACTGGGGAAAAGGTGAAGATTGCTTGAAATAATGCTTTGTTTCTTGGCCTTCCACATTGGACGGTGATGATGTTTTCAGTACATTTTTTATACATAAAGGACTAAACTTTATATTTGTAATAAAGAATACATATAATTAATAATTCTATCATAGGATCTTATGATTGATATTTTTTATACTAACAAATGTTAAGTTTTCCCCTTTTTTTCTTCTTTGTGCATTTAGAACAAGTTTTGAAATTTCACAAGTATGAAATCAAGAAATTTACGACCAAGAAGAAAACAAAAACAGTGAAATTAGATGGAAAAAGCCTAAAGCTAAGAGATTACATATCTTATCCCTTTTTCTTTTATTTTTTACAAAAAATTTTAATGTACATATTAAGAATGAATTTATTGTATATTTTTATTATAAATTTATATAAAAATAAAAAATTAATTTTAATTTATTAATTATTCAATTAAAATATCTAATGTCATATTAATATTAAAAATAAGGTTTATTTTTATAATTTTTATATAAATTTATAATAAAAATATAATTTAATACATTTTTAACCAAACCATACAGATAAAAAAATAATTTTTCGTACATAATACAGTAGGGGATACGTGAGTAACTCCTTTTTGGTATCACATTCGAACCAGTCATTTTTCGTACCATACCAACTTAAATATTCTCTCTCTGAACTTCGTCCCATCCCCTTTTACCATCTGGAGCCTCTCTCCTCTTCCCATCCTTGTAGTTATTTTCCAGAAAATATCTCCAGTTGCGATTCTAGCTTTGAGCATTAAAGCAAAGGTATGCTTCTTAATTAATCCCTAGCTACAGATGGCTGGATTATTTTTACTAAAATTTCATTTTACCATTTGTTTTTTCTGGCTTTTTGCAATCTTCTGATGGATACCTTCAAATCATTATTTCTATGACGTGTGTTATTATTATTTTTTCTCTTTTACGTTGAACAATCCCTTTTTATTAAATTTATTGACCAAATTAGAGAGATAATATTAGATAATATTAAGTGTTTTAATTAGTACTGTGTAAATATATTTTTATTTTAAAATTTTTTATTGATTGTGTTTTAATTCATTAAAGCATCTAATTATTCTTAATTAAAGTCTGTCCTTAACTAATATGATGATAACTAAATTTTCTTTCCTAACTGTTGTTTTATTATTTCTTTCGGTACAATATTTCAGTTGCTTGACACAAACTGCATATTCTATCAAATTAAGCTTAATTAATCTCTCTACAAAACCTTACAACTTTTTCTAGCTAATTAAGGTATATATATATACCAGTATTTTCTAATTAATATCTTACTCAATTCATTGAAGATCTAAATCAAACTCTATGATATATGTTTTGATTGTTTTCTTTACATCTTGTTATTTTCAATACTAATTAAATCAATCCATTAGGATTAAAGGTCATCAAAAGTATGTGAGATATTCAATATATTATTTTAAGGAATTTGTACTTCAATCCGTTTCTCTTTCTTGCAGAAAAGCTATTTCATCCAATGGAGGTCCTATCTTTTGTTGGAGGTTCTCTTTTATCTGTTACATTTGACTTGCTACTCAAAAAGTTGTATGAATATCTAAGTGATCAACTACGAAATCCAAAGGGGGAAGTACTTACTCAAATGGAGAGGTGGAAGACTTTTTTGTCCGAAATCATTGCTGTACTTCAACAAGCAGAAGAAAATCCAGTTGCCAACCAGTTTATAAAGTCATGTCTTGATGATCTCAGGAACTTGGCTTATGATATGGAAGACTTACTTGAAGAGTTTGTGATTGATGCCAAGAGATCTGAATTGACTACAAAATTTAAAGCTAGCACCAGCAAGGGACTGAAAGTCAAATCCCGTCTCCAAAATTTGTTTAGATCTCAAGCTAAGCCCAATGGAAAGATCAGTTGCAGGTTGAAAAGTTTGAAGGATATAGCTAGCAGATTGGAGCAAATCGAGAAGGAGATGCATATTTTGGGTCCAATCAATTTGGCTATTGAAGATAAAAAAAAGTGTCACATAATTGCAGAAAGACTTGAGTCCTCTATTCTTGAATATGAGGTGATGGGTCGAGATAGTGATAAGGATGCTATTCTTCTAAGGTTGTTAGAAGATAGAGGTAGTCTTGAACAAGACTTTGTTATTCCCATCGTTGGAATGGGTGGACTAGGCAAGACAACTCTTGCTCGGCTCATTTACAATGATCAAAAATTGGATGGCAAGTTTGACTTGAAGGCATGGGTTTGTGTTTATGATGTGTTTGATGTTGCTCGAATAACAAGAACCATTTTAGAACAGATAACTAGGGAAAAGTGTGATCTTAATGATTTCGATTCACGACAGAAGAAATTGAAAGAGAAGTTATCTGGGCACAAATTTCTTCTTGTATTGGATGATGTTTGGGATAAGAAATATGGCAATTGGGAGAAATTGAAGAGACCTTTCATGTCAGGAGCTCTTGGAAGTAAAATAATTGTCACGACTCGAAATATGGATGTTGGGAAAATGATGAGAGGAAATGATGGAGTTTACAATTTAGAATTGCTACAAGTTAATGCTTGTTTGCCATTATTTACACTACATGCACTAGGGGAAAAGGACTCTGCTGCACACCCAAACCTACAAGATGTTGGTGAGAGGCTTGTTGAGAGGTGCAAAAGATTGCCACTGGCACTAAAAACTCTCGGTGGCGTCTTGCAGGTAAAGCAGGGTCATGATGAGTGGGAAAAAATATATAACAGTAATATATGGAGTTCATCAAAAGATAGAAGTGACATTTTTCCTGTTCTAATATTGAGTTATAATGATCTTCCTTTTCACTTGAAGCGATGCTTTGCTTATTGTGCTTTGTTCCCTAACGACTATGAATTTGACAAAATGGAGTTGGTCCGATTATGGATGGCTGAGGGCCTATTGCAGCAACAGTCAGGTGGAAAGAAGCAAATGGAAGAGGACACTGGTCATGAATATTTCCAAGAATTGTTATTAAGATCACTCTTTCAACCGTCAAGCAGAGTTGAATCACGGTTTGTGATGCATGACCTCATAAACGATTTAGCTACAAATATTGCTAAAGGGATATATTGCAATCTTGAAGGTAGCATGGGTGATGAAAAATTAGAAAAGGTTCATCATTTGTCATTCACTCCACACTTTTATGAATTCCCGAAGAGATTCACAATCTTGAATAAATTGAAGCATTTGAGAACATTCTTGTCACTAAGAGCACTCGATGTCTACAACGCCTCCTATTTGTCTAACGGAATCTTGCATGGTTTCCTGCCAGCTTTAAATCGCTTAAGAGTGCTATCTCTTCGTGGCTATCTAATAAGTAAGCTACCAGATTTTGTTGAAAAGTTGAAACATATCCGGTACATTGATTTGTCTGGAACAAGGATTAAATGTCTACCTGAATCAGTGGGTTCTCTTCTCTTCTTGCAAACATTGTTATTATCAGGTTGTGGAGAGCTTACTCAGTTGCCTACAACGATTGGAAATCTAATTGATCTCCATCATCTTGATATCTTTGCTACACCACATTTAAACAAGATGCCATCAGAAATAGGCAATCTTAAAAATCTTGTAACACTGCCCAAATTTATCGTGGGGAAGGCAAGTGGAACGATGATGAGATTATCTGCTTTGAAGAACTTGTCACAACTTCGAGGAAGACTGTCTATTCTAGATCCGGAAAATGTTTCGCATGTTCGAGATGCTGTGGAGGCCAATCTAGACAAGATCCATGGTTTAGAAGAGTTAGTCTTGGAGGGGTGGTGGACTGCTCCTGATAATGATCGAGATGAATCAGTACTCAGCTGGTTAAAACCTCATTCAAATTTGAAAAGTCTCAAAATTTCTTACTATGCTAGCAGGAGTTTCCCAAACTAGGTCTGTGATCCATTATTATTTTTTAATTTATCATCCATGGAGCTCAACTGCTGTAGGGGATGCACTTTTTTACCATCACTTGGCCGACTACCTGTTCTTAAAAAATTGGTTATTGAATGGATGGACGCAATAGAAGCCGTGGGTCCTGAGTTTTATGGGCGGCATGACTCTTTTCCATCACTGGAGGAACTAGAGTTTAGATGGATGCACAATTGGAAGGAATGGACTTCTCCAAATGGAAGTGAAGGTGAATTCCCTTGTCTTCGTAGGCTTGTGATTCATCATTGTCCTAAGTTGTTAGGTCAATTACCTAGCAACCTTTCTTCACTTAAAGAGTTGGATGTTGTTAGCTGCCATCCGATGCTTTTGAAGAGTATGGTTGATCTCACTTCACTCACTAAATTTAGAATTCAGAAAATTTCAGAACTGACTTGCTTGCCAAAGAGTTTTATACAGTCCTTAACAACACTTGAGACTCTGGATATTGAATGTTGCGAGGATCTTACTTGTCTGTGGGAGGAAGGGGCAGAAATAGAGCAAAACCTCTTGCCTTTCAATCTTAAGCATCTTACCCTTCAGGAATGTGGAGCTTTGGAGTCATTACCCAATGCTATTATGATGAGGATGGATGAAAGCAGTAGCAGCAACAGTAGTATGTTGATGTTGAGACTGGAAAGGTTGGAAATTGATTATTGTCCTTCTCTCAAGTCTTTTCCAAGAGGCAAATTACCCATCTCGCTTAAACATTTGAAAATAGCAGTCTGTGAAAGTCTTGAGTCTCTACCGGATGTTGATGGTGGCAATAATAATAGCAATCTACATTTGGAAATAGCAAATGTTCCATGCTTGTATTCTTCTAAGGATTGTGATCAGCCACCAGCTTTTCTCAAGAAATTTGGAGTTAGATACTGCAATTGGTTGGAATCATTTCCAGAAAGGATGCTGCAACGTTGTACGGGACTCCAATCTCTTAGTATTGACAGCTGTAAAATATTGAAAAGTTTACCCACCTTTGATTGCGTCACCAATCTCGTTGAATTATCTATTTACCACTGTGAAGCTTTAGGGTCATTACCAGAAGAGTTGGGATTATACACCCCCAATCTAAAGGATTTGAAAATATTGGTTTGTATGAATTTCAAATCCCTCCCAAATACGATGTACCAGCTGAAATCTCTTCAAATTCTATGGATGGAAAAGTGCCCCGGCATCGAGTTCATTCCAGATGGGGGTTTGCCCCTAAACTTAACAGAGCTTAAATTGCGGTGTAAGAATCTCAAGCCGCTGCCAAATACAATGTACCAGCTCACATCGCTTCAGCATCTAGAAGTCGCAGGTGGGGCTTTGATGTCTCTTCAACGGTTAACAATTGACCAGAAATTCCCTCAGGATATTGTGCTGCCTTCTTCTTTAACCTATCTTCAGATTTGGGATGAAGAAAATTTGGAATCCATACCTGGGGGGCTCTTCCAAAACCTAAGCTCCCTTCAAGAGTTATGGATATGTGGCTGCCCGAAGCTACAGTCTTTGCCGAGGGAAGCCTTCCCTCCCTCGCTTGGGCAACTATGCATCAGCGGGTGTCCGCATCTAAAACGACAACGCTTTGAGGAGAAAGGAGACTACTGGACTCTCACATATAGCATCCCAAACGTTCTCATATTAGAGGTAATAAGAGTTTGGTGTGAACTGAAATAGGCATCACCATTTTATGCTTTTCATATGAGAATTTAGAAAAATTATAATAGATGACACTTTACTTTGACTTCTGCTGCCTTTTCTTATATATATGTGTTGCACATCTTTTTTGTGAAGGATGATTGGTTGTGAGCTAGCTACAACTAATTGTTGAGGTAAACAAAGCCAAGCCACTCCTCAATGTTACTGGTACTTCATTCATTCCCTGGATTAATCAACTTTATATTATTATCTACTATTTATTACCCACCATAAATTTATTTTCCTCTGAAAACATGCATGCATTCAGTTGCCTCAAAAATGGCTTACACAGTTACGGTTTCAGATTATTTTGAAAGGGGATGAGTGGTTGGCCTTGGCATTATGGAAATTCACAACCACCAAGGAGCTCGCTGCTTGCAAAATGATGTTCTTAGGCAAGCCAACCAATTTCAATTTTAAATTCAATTACTGCAGGAGCTAATGTTTTCCATTCTGAAGAATTGGGAAGATTTTTGAAATAAGGAGTTGCTGATGTTGAAACGAGGTTTTTCTGTAAGCTAGAACTGGAATGTGGATGACCTTTGTTGAATTAAGCAAGCTTTTAATTTGACTAAATCAAGTTGCAGTTTTACAAGTTTTTTATTTAGGAAAGCAGAACTTACCCTGTAAGTATCTATATTACCTCTTCAAAATTGTATTGTGATGCCTACTGGGTTTGCTATTTTTATTGTTTAGGACAAGGAATCAAAACCGATATGTTAGGCTATCTCCATGCTTCATTTTACTTGAGCAAAGTTATACATTTTGATGATGATATACTAGTCTATTCCTCTACCATCTGTGATGTTAGTTGCCTTAGAATTAAATTATTATTTCCCGTTCCTTCCATCTCTTGATTAATACATATTGGTTGCGTTAAAGATTGTCTAAATTTTTGTCATATTTTGCAATTTTAAATTTTTTTTTCCAGAACTTATAGATTTCATTTCAACAATTCACTTATCCATCTTTCCTTTCTATGTTACAATTGATACTTTTTGTTTTCTTAAAACTCTAAATGAATTATTTTCTCAAATTTCAGTCTAGCCTTTGATTTTTCCAATTTCCCATCCTTTTTTTCATGTTTCCAGTTGCTTGTGCAGAGAACAAAGCAAAATCTTGTTAGGCCTATGTAGGACCCCTTTGTTTTGTGACTCCCTTTTTCCCTTTATGTGCTAGAAGTTATGAGCATACTCTAAATTGTAGGGGTACTGCTTGTACCCTGTTTAATATTTCATTTGCTGATAAAAAAAATGTCATGTGCTTGCTCATTTCTATTCTAATTGATTTTTGTTGTCCGGTATTTGTTTTACCAGCTATTTGTATCACCATTTTTCTTAATTTTGATTCCAATGCATGGAGATCAGGTAGATATCGAGAAGTTATTCAGTTGTAACAAGTCAGTGGAGCTTTCATAACAGCTGGTGGCTGGTTTTGATCAACATTGCAAAAACAGTGCAGAGACTATGAGAGTGAGTTGCAACAGCAGCAGGAAGGTTAGTAGAGGAGTCATGGTTCTGCTCCATGTCAATTGTGATTTGGTCTCCAATTCCTCTTGGTACACAATCAGCACACTTTATGAGATTCCCAATTTGATTGGAGATTTTGACTTCTAGCTTTATTTTGGTGACGATTAATACATTAGTGATCCAACAATTTTATTCTTGATGACTTATTGTTGTGTACAACCTCTAGTGTTTTCTAAAGTAGAGGAAACTTTGTAATAATGCTATTTTTATAGTGTATGTTTTTTACTTGATTAGATTTCGTGGTTTTTTCCCCTAAAGGAATTATCACATCAAAAAAATCTAGTGTCTTAATTTTGTGGATGTGATCATTTTTATTTTTGTTAGTTGCTTGACTTATTTTTGAGTTTGATTATTTTCCATTTAATTGCATAGACAGAAGAATATCGGTTGAATGTGTTATATACGCAAATTGGTTCTTGTTCCATGAATCCCCAAAAGCTCGAAAAGCTTGCCTTTATCTTTGTGATACCTTTTCAAATTCAAGTTATTAGTTGTGCTGGATGAACTCTTTGGTGGTAGACCATAATTGAACTTGAGTATACCCTTCAACCCAAACACAGCTTTAGGATTTGATTCATATACATATTTTTGAATTCAACTGAGTAAAACATATGATTGTTGTTCTTAAAAAAAGAAAGGTAAATGATTTATATCCTGAAAGAGTATTACTTAAAATTAGGAAGAGAATGATCTCTGATATTCTATGGCTGTGAATAGTTTTATATATAGGAAATGAAATATTAACATCATTAGTACATTCACTTCAATTGAATACTGAACAATACTCTGGAGCTGGAAAGGTCAGGGATAATATCTGATACCAATCTAGAACAGCCAGGCTGAATGATCTTTTATTTATTATCCTTATAGCCACGTCTGTTGTACATGTATCCGGGTGAACCCATGTGAACCATCACCCTCTTGAAGTCCACAAGTCAATCATCTAAGCAAATCATTTCAAAAAGTTAGCACAACAGCACCGCACAACAGCACCGCACATCACCTACAAAAGTCAGCACAAGAATATCAGTTGAAAAGCTAACTGTTAGTAACAGCCCTAAGAATGAGTTACCTTGTAATCAGTCTCTGCTGTATACTTATATTACAAGTGATATCTAATATTTAAATTTGAGATTTTTTTTTTGCCTAAGGAAAATATGTAGAATGAAGCATTTGAATGACAAGTTAAACCTTGGGATTCTTGAAATGCCATGACATCCAAGCCTTTGACAGGGTTTAAAACAATCTTTTGTTCTAAAGCAGCATTTATCAGATTAAGAACCACCCATGGATTGGTCTCTATATAAATATACTAAAATGGAAATCAAGGGCTCAAAGGCAATTATGTTCACATGCAAATTCCTATTACTGGTCTTCCAAGTTGGAGAGACATATACTACCATATCCACAAAGAGATGAATGCAAGAAAGGTAAACAAATTAGCACAGATATAACATCTAGTTTAAATTGAAAAGACGCAAAGATTGAGCAGATATAGAAGAACATATAAAGAAATCTTGCCACACTGCTCCCACTTTATGAAAATTCACCAGCCATGTGCTTGAACCAGTCTGGGTAGATAATACACAATCCACCCAAACCCGAAACCTTTTTCCCTGCTTGTCTCCATACCACCCTTTCAATTCATGTATGCGTTCATGTAGAGGTTTCTCAACACCA